TGAACCCATGAGCATTTAAACCACTGAGACATATCCCCAGTCCTTTTTAAAAAATTTTTATTTAGAGACAGCATCTCATTGAGTTGCTTACAGTCTCACTAAGTTGCTGAGGCTGGCTTTGAACTTGCAATCCTCCGGTCTCAGCCTCTCAAAATGCTGGGATTATAGGCATGTGCCACCTTGCCTGGTTTATAGGTTATTTTTTAAAAAAAACTACAAAGATAAATAAAAAGAGGGAAGACAGAATAAGAGGGAGAAGAAATGATCCTGTGTTTCAAGGCAAATGATAATGCTACTGCGGGAGGTACACAGGACAGAAAGATGTGCAAATAAATATGCTGCAGGGTGCAGGGGCGCACACAGTAATATCAGCTGCTTGGGAGGCTGAGTCAGGATGATCGCAAGTTGGAGGCCAGCTTTTGCAATTTAGGGAGACCATCTCAAAATAAAATAAAAAGGCTGGGGATGTAACTCAATGGTAGAAGATCCTAGGTTCAATCCCCAGTACTGGGGGTAAAAAACAAATAAACAAACAAAAACAAATGAACAAGAAGAGATGTCACATTTAGTTTAAGACACGTGTATCCATTAACTTTGCATTTACCAAATGTGTACCATGTGGACATACCTCCCTTAATATTTAGTTTTGATTACATTTATTAGTGAAGGAATTTGCTTTTTCTCAATGTGAAGTATTCTATCCAAACTAACACAGTGGAAAATTTGTCTCTTTCCTCTAAATTCTTGCATATTTTGCTGTTTGTACCACACACACTAAGCATGTGATACATACAAACTCCCCACATCCCCAGGTCAAATTTTAACCAGACCGTAAGTGGCTTAAGAGTAGGCATTATTTTGTGTATTTTTGAATCTCCCACAGTACCTAAGCCAGAGTGGGAATTGAGTAATTCTTTAATTTTTAGAGTAGAAAAGATTTTTTGTCTTCTCTGGTAGAGATACATCTTTTTTTAGCCTTGTAGACCAGAAAGATCAGTAACATTTCACATCCAGAAAACATGGCTACTGTGAAGGGAGCTAGCGAAGCTAAGTTGGCCTGGGACTGTGATAGAGAGAGCTGAATGATGGCAAGGGCTAAGAAACTGTTTAATATCCCACTTTCGATAGCAACCGTTTTACAAACAGGAGTAGGCAGCATACAAATTTTACTAAAGGAGTACCCGAACAACAAACCCAAAGTAGGGACTGAGAGACCCAAAAGAAGCACCTCTAAGTTAGCTGTTTTTAGCAACATCAATCCCATTCTGAAAGTCAAATAAATCCCTACAAACATTAACATAAAACTCAGAGGTCGAATTATTTTCTCTAAGAGGTTTGCTTTTTCAGGTATTCTACGCTTGATGATTATTCCAACTGATATTGGTATAAGGATGAACAGGAGTGTGGACACAATTTTAAAAACAGGAATATGAAATACACCTGATAACCCTAATATCTTACTATATATATAAGAATTGATAGGCATCATTATCAGGGCCAATAATGTTGACGTGCAAGTCATCAGAATGGCCAAAGTGACATCTCCTTCCAGAAGCAGAGCAAAGAAATAACCCCCACCCCCTCCAGGGCACGTGCAGGTCATTATAAATCCAAACGCTTGTGCCTCAGGCAAGGCCAAAATCTGAGACAGAAGAAAACCGCAAAAGGGCATAAGAAAAAACTGTGTAACTGCCCCAAGAATTACGGGCAAAGGTCTCTTCCATACTGTTTGAAGCACCTGTAATTCAATCTTGCAACCAAAGGCACATTTATTTAGCAGTATCAGTGGTAAAATAAGCATTAGGATCTTTCTATCGACATGCATTGATGCCTGGAAAAGATTCTTTTTTGTTTGTGTGCAAACTTTGACTTTGACATTCTTTATTTCTTCAATGAGTCTTTCTTGCCTACCTTCAGAATCCCAGAGTTGAATGGTCAAATTGGTCTCTCCTTCTTCATCTGCTCTTAGGTTTATGGTAAAGTTGGTAGCATCCGAGGAGGTCTTGGTCACATTCACCACATGCAACATTTTAGGATCTTCTAATTGCACAAAGAGGTAGCTGGAGTTAGGCCGTTTACCTTTGTAACTTGACTTTACAATAACAACCTCTTCAGTCTTTGTGAAAAATAGTATTTCAGTCTTTTCTGTGTTCTGAAAACTGAGAAACGACTTCCTTGCTTCTCCCAGAGTCACAAACAGCGAAAGTAGGATCATAAAATTTTTTCTAATCATTTTGAAGCCGTAAGTAAATGACATACAGCAAATCACTTTTTAAAAATGAAAGAACATTCTTCCCACTCACTGGTGTTCAGAGATGGTATAAGGTTCAGTTGGGTGAGTTGTTTTGCTGGATCAAAGTCCAGTAGGAGGGACTGCTGTACTTTTCAAACTGATATAAAAGCTCTCTCTTGAGTGACACAACCTGTTTAACTTGTAGTTAATACAATTTATGGCATTTACCAGGTTCAATTTACCACAAATAGAAACCTAATCTCCTTCTTCCTGACCTCCTTGTTTCTGCTAATAGGAAAGGGAGGGGGGCGGGAGATCAAAACAAAACAAAAAAACAAGTCCTATTTATCTGAAGTTAAAAATCTTGGTATCATCAGTTTTTAGTTCTTTTCTATGCTAAGAAAAATTCGCCAGACACAGTTGTGCATGCCTGTAATCCCAGAGGCTTAGGAGGCTAAGGCAGGAGGATCGAGAGTTCAAAGCCAGCCTCAATAGTGCTAAATGACTGTAAGTAAAATACAGGAAAGGGCTTCAAGTGGTTCAGTGGTTAAGTGCCTCTGAGTTTGATCCCTGGTACCAAAAAAAAGAAAAAAAAAATTACACTGAAAGCAGTCAAGATAAAAAAAAATCTAAAATGTATATTGAAGAGGCCTGAAGGTCTGTATCAAGTGAAAACCAAACAAGCATTTACTGAATACCTTGCTGGAGCACTGAACTAAGACCTGGTTTACACCATGGTGATCAAGCCAAGTGCAATTTCTGCTCATTTAGGCTTAGAGAACTAGAGCCCAAGCCTGGCCTTATACTACTGATAGCTTTATGACATCTGAGAGTGACTGTATGGGTCAAGCAAAAAATGGAAACTATTTTTATGTCCTTAAATACGAAAATAATTTCCTAGAGGGTTACCAGATAACTTGGGAACATAGGGAAAATAGGTGGCTGCTATTATTGCTAAAGGGGCTGCTGCTATTGGGTACTTGAAACCTTATACATAGGGCAATGGAAAAACACTGACATTAATTCTAAATGTCTTATTCCTTCTTTTTTAATACTAATCCCTATTAACAGTTAGGGACCATGGACATTAACTAACCTAACTTAGGTCATGTCTGTCCCTCAGTTGCCAGGGATAAGGAAAAGCATCAGTCTTTTTACATTTCAACGCCCCCCTCCACACACACAATTGTGTAATTTCCCAAACAAGGTGATGAAGTTCTGATTCTAAGCAGGCAAGAAACAAAACAAAAACAAACCCCCAAACACTACAACTGTCTACTATTGAGCCTGCAGATCTAGTAGTTGCTTGTGGCCATTTCAGAAGATGCTTAATGTAATTATGATGCAATTTGTTAAATGAAGACAATGTGTATAATTTTAGATCATTTATGATCCTCAAAGAACACCAGAGCCATTTTTTAAAATTTTCATAAATTTTTTAAAAAGTCTATCATTTATATAGGTTAATCTTTCAAACACAAGACTTTAGATGTCATAAATTTTATTTCCACATAGAACACTAAGAAAAACAAAATTCTCAATGTTGAGAATAGAGAAAGGAACAAATCTGTTCCAGACACTTCAACTAAATTGCCAAGGAACTTAGTTTAATGATAAAAATAAAACAAACATAAAACAAAGCTATCTTTATAGTTTCCTGATCAAATATCTTAGTTCACAATTTTTATTGCCCAGGTCCAAGATGTGTAGTATGTAAATTTTCCCACTCCAATGCCTTTTATTCAACCTTCTTTCTTCTTCTTCAGGTTCTCCCAAATCTTCTTATTTGAAAACTGTGGAGTACAATATCTGATAAAGCTAGAAAAGATCTGATAATCTCCCATTTACGTGAATTTGCTGTCTGATTAAACTGAAGCTTATTTGTATTGCAGAATTATTTTACCTACTTACCTAATTTTAAAACACTTTTTTTCTTTGTGGATTTTCAGTTGTCTGTAAGCAAGTGAAGAGAAACTAGGGTGAGATGTGAACAGTGAAATACTAAAATTATATTAGGTGTATAAAATTCTCACCAAAAAGTCTGAGAAAGTTGAACTTAAGTAAATTGAAAATAGGGAGCTAGAAAAACTAGATTCCTTCTTTCCCACACTGGTTGTCTTTAGAGAACAGGAAAGGGCTTCACATGGTGCTGGAGCCACCAGTCCCTAGTACTGAGGATACTGGTACCTATGCATCCTCCACAATAGTTCTACCATCTGAGACCTGACCTAATTCACCACCAGTATGCTTACTGATGTCTTTTTTTCTCTGTTCATTCATTAATAGGAGCATTTTTTATTTTGCCTAGATTTGTATCTATCCCTGCTAGCCTTATTTCCCTCTTCTCAATAGTTGTTTTTGGGGGGCATATTTAGTTTTAGTTCACTTATGTGGCTGACCACCTACTATGTGTAAGTAATTATGACAGACACTAAGGTATTGGTTTGCATTACAACTTTCTGGTATCCTTCTGTTATTAATCCTTTAATTTAAGGATTATTTCTTCCTCTGGTTTATGGTTTCTGATAAAAGAGCTGTTGGAACATGGCTATACTGCCTACTAATCTGCAACTTGCTATCCTACTTTGTATTACCATTAAAAGATTGCATACATATCTTCATTGTATTTACTGTGACAATTAGAAACCAATCCTTACATTTAGTAGGTATTCAAATAATTATGTTAATAGATAAATGCATAAGCTCCTGATAAAAGCTGAAAATTATTGTCATCCTTCATATGAAAATAGTATGAATAACACAGTAGACCAAATGAACATTGTTTATTGTTTTAATTAAAGTTAAAGTCACTGTATAGGTTCATGATAATTAGCATAGAAAACAAAGAACATATAGAAATAATTTATATTCCTTCTGCATAATAGTACTTTGTTAAGCATAACAGAAAACATTAGTTAGAAACATTAAATTCAATTTGTTGGCAAAGTGTAGTTATTTGTGGCAGGTGTTTTGCCATGGTACAGAGACTATAATAAAGTTGGGCTATTCCATCATCCCTCTCATTTGTAATACATTCATACAAACAATGGGGGAGGTTATCAGAAACATACCCCAATGCAGATAGGTGATACCAAGGCAACAAGTTTCTCTTCTTAGGTCTGAGATTCCTCATCCAAAAATTTAGAAGACTGAGACTGAATGAGGTGATCTCTAAATCTACATAATTCATGTATACACATCAATGTATACATCATGATGTAGGCAAAGAGTAAAGCTGTACTTTTGGGCCCTATAACACTAGGCGTAAGCATGTGACTTCTTAAAGCCAAAATAACACAAGAATCTTTTAAGAGCTGACCTCATATATACCATCTCCTTCTGCCATAAGAATGGCAAAGTCCCAAAAAGGGGGTTGTTACTTCAGCTTGGATTCTGGAGTGAAGATGGGATGGAGCAGTGTCATAGCCAATCAACAGCTGACATTAACCAAATGGGAAACACACTTCTGCTGATGTTTCTACAGTATAAACTAATAAATCTAATTTTTAAAAATTGCTAACAATTGAGTATCAGCACATAAATTTAAAACATAAAAACCCCAATTAAGTAGAAAACTGATAATATAAATTATGACAGAATGGAAATAAATTAAAAAGCATCTTTTAAAAATTGAAAAAAAAGTATCTATAGTAAAAGAAATTGACTTAAACATGCACATAAAAATTTTCCTTGTGATTTCTGGTTTGAATTCTTGAGTGACTATTCCAAATAAGAATCAACATTTTTTAAAGACTGTTCTTCATCACTAAGATATTCCAAAATAATATTTCCACCATTATATAAAGGACAATCCTCCTTAGTAATCCAGGTTTCCAAAGCATGATCCAAGGGTAAGGCTTCTCCTGAAGTAATGTGACATAGCCTTAATTTCTGTTGAGAGAGAAATTAATCATGCTATAATATACACTTGTATAGATTATCCTAAAACTTTAAGAGAAAATTTATCATAACCATATGTTACCTTAGCTATTGATTTGTTATTGTCATTTTTAAGATTGGCTAGAGAAGCTGCAAAGTCTATGACCTTTCCAATGCTCCATCTGTGGCAAAAGAACATGGGTTTGCTTTTTTCTTTGCTCCCCTTAGGCAAGAAAACCTGAAAGTAAATTCTTTCTGTCTGTAAAATAAAAAGTTAAAACACAGGTTATATATATGAAGTAAAACATGTTTTAGTCTGGTGATATCCTTTCTTCTCTTCCTCTGGTTAGAGGATTACCCTCTAATGAATTAACTCTTAATGGGAAGACAAATCATGGTAGCTTCAAATCTAACTAATTGTATGGGTATGGCCATGGCTATCTATGCATAACTTAGGCCAATCGGGCTCTATTTCTTAAGATTTTATGTTCAAAAGCTGAGGATAGGGGGAGTTCTTCTTTTTTTAATTTGCTGATTTAAACATGGAGCTGCTGCAGTGAGTCCTCATACTCCTTTAGTCATTCCTGAACCAATGTGGTAAAAGAAGCCTTAAAGAGAAAAATCAAGAAAACGGATGAAATGGATGAACTCTTTCAACATAATTTGGCACTCAATGAGATAATACATAACTCTCCGTTACATGAGAAGGCTAAAAATTTTTTTCTTTCCTGTTTCTTGGGAGGTACCAGGGATTGAGCCCAGGGGTGCTTAACCACTAAGCTATATCCCTAGCCCTTTCTAATTTTTTATTTTAAGACAGATCAAGCTAAGTTGCCAAGATTGGCTTTGAATTTGTGATCCTCCTGCCTTGGCCTCCCAAGCTGCTGGAATTACAGGTGTGTGCCACAGTCCCCAGCAACAAATTTATTTTACTTGTACTACTTGGGAGTCAAGTTTCAGCCACTTGCAAGTAAAGGATTCTTTGAACACGAAGCATTTCTTTTTGTGTAAAAGACCCCACTACTACATTTTTAGAGACAGTAGGAGTTTTTAGAACAAAGAAACTTAAAACCAAAAAACTAAACTATAAAACCCCAGAAAAAATTTATTAATAAAACAGGAATTCAGAGATGGTTTCTCTAGTATTCTATATACTACTTGCCTCCTTATACTCTATTTTCTTGCTTAATTAGCAAATGAAGGAAAGAAAATAGGATCTTTACTGATTAGTTGGAGCTTCTCTATGTTGTTGGAGAAAGTATTTTAAATAACACTTCCCATCTCAACACTAGGGAATTCAGATTTGCTGAAGATCAGTGGAGTGTGTTAGTAAGATAACAAGCACTCAAAGAAAAAAACAAGAAATCATTGGAAATTCCAGTGGTCCATAAAGAAAGTCTCTGCTTCAAAACAAAATAGTAAGAGAATAAATATAAAATGAGATTAACTATAAATATATAGCCTTGTTGGGCACTGTGGCAAACTCCTGCAATCCCAGCAATTCAGGAGGCTGAGGCAGGAGGATTGCAACCTTGAGGCCAACCTAGACAATTTAGTTAGACCATGTCTCAAAATGAAAAATCAAAGGGCTGGGGGATCTAGCTCAGTGGTAGAGCACTGCTGGGTTCAATATGCAGTACTATAAAAAAATAAAGAAAGAAAACAAATAAATATATCTGAGGATCAAAAATGAAATGCATGTTGTCATGATACTCCAAAAGGAAGGAGGAGGTCATTCAGAGTTGAGATGAGGGTGAATGGGAAATACTGGTGTTGCATAGAAATAGAACTAAAACTCCCTGGTCAGGTTCACTGGCTAAAAGCAAAGGCTGGAATGGGGCTTGGGCTCTAGGAAAGGAGGCTAAAGAAGTGATTGCTAAATCTTAACTGGGCTGTCGCTTATACAAATCAACATTCTGAAGGCAGCAAAACATGATATAACCTAATGACAGTGAACAAAGCTCAGTAAATGCATCTTTAAAATTTTGAAAATCTCTGTAGGGCAGAAGCACAAACTTCCAGTCTCAAATATGGATTTGATATGGAGGTTCTGGAAGTGTGGGTCAGGAAGAAGAAAACACAAAATTGCTAGACAGGGATTAACCATGTAAGGAGAGGGAGAGAGATACAGACAGACTCTCTTACTCAAGATGAACACACAGAGTCAATCAGCTGAAATTTTAAAACAAATTCAAGGTTCAGCTATTTTAGACCATTGAAAATAAGTGAACTTAAAAGACATTAAATGAAGAAATAATATGCAAAGGAACAAAATGTAGTGAAACCAAAACAAGTAGAAATGAAACAGGAAAAGTTATGATGATCCAAACAGAAAACCAAAAATAAGATTATTGAAGTAAGAAACTCAAACAAGGTAAATTTCTACATTCCTCAATAAAAAAGTGTATTAACCAAGAGTCGGCCAGAATATAGTATAAAGACATACAGAGAGAAATTATAAATCTCCAAAACATGTTGAACAAGAACTTCAGAGACTCTACACCTACCAGTGAAGTGACAACCAGAGAGAAAATGACTATAAATTTTCAAAAGTGAAGAGAAAAAATTAAAAATGTATTTCAACTGTCCAGTTGGATAATTTAAAAATACATATATTATTTCTTTTTTTTTTTTTTTTTTTTAGTACTGGGGATTGAACTCAGAGGCACTCAACCACTAAGCCACAACCCCAGCCTTATTTTGTATTTTATTTAGAGACAGGATTTCACTGAGTTGCTTAGGATCTTGCCATTGCTCAGGCTGGCTTTGAACTTGTGATCCTTAGTGTGTTGAGCTGCTGGGATTACAGGCATGCGCCATGGTGCCTGGCAGATAATTAAAATATACTGAAACCTGGAACACTGCACCAATATTTGAGAATATCACAGATAAAAACCTTAAAAGCTATCCAAAAAAGAGAATTACAAAATACAACAAGAATGAACCGCAAAAAGATGTTTCCCTAATAACAGATGGCAGAGGTCAATGAAGAGTATGAGTTGAGAAAGTCTAACAGCAAATCAAGCTAAAAGTGAGAGCAACTTGAATCCTTGTGGGAAAGGGAGGAGATAGGAAGACATATTTCTAAGACCATGTTGTATTATCCCTGTCTCTTAAAATATTTTTAAACAGTATATGCTGAAGCCTATCATTTGCAATTATATCCCAGAGTTATAGTATTGAAAATCCTGAGATATTTTTAAAAATTTGGATATAGTAATTTTAAAGTTCATATGAATGAATAAATGCTAAAATATTTCTTAGAAAAAAATAGAGACAGGACTTAGGTTACAGATATAAAACAGTCTATGAAGCTACTATTAGGTATTAACATGAGAAAAGAACAGATAGATGGTGAAATAGCTTGGAAAGTAAAAAATAATTCTGTATATGTAGAATGTTAATTTACCATGAAGGTGATATTTTGGTATTTCAATTCAATAGGAAAAAAAATGACTATTTAATATCAGTGATGTAAAACTAGCTAACTGATTGAATGAAAATAAAATTGAGCCCATAGCTCATAACATCTACAATAACAAAATCAGATTGATTAAAGACTAATGTAAAAATATTTAAAAAAGACAGATCCTAGAAAATTTAAATATTATATCAATGAGAAGCATAGTGAAATCAATATACCTGATTTCAAAAAAAGTTTGCAAAGTAGATTGATTATTACAGCCATCATGAGCTATCATTTTATAGCCAACAAACTAGAAAACTTTACTTAAAAAGAGTGATAACAGCTAGTGGAAATCACAGGAGAGAGGTATTCTCATGTAAGAGTGACAAGTGGAACATACTGAACTGGTTAGGAGGGCAGGCTGTAACTGAGTAATTCTTTTCTTGATTTTCCTTTTCTTTTTTGCAGTACTGTTAAAATTTTATTTTAAGGCTGGCTTCAAACTTGTGATCCTCCTGACTCCCCATCTGAGCTGCTGGGATTTCTGAGTGATTCTTAAACAATACTTAACTTCATTTAGATTACTGTATGAAATGAAGAATAGTGAGAGAGGAAAAAAAAATCCAGAGTCACAAAATAATGCTTGGTATAGTCAGTAAAGGTTTGTTATTATAATTACTGTTGGTAGAAATATGAATTGTTACAACTCCTCTGTAGAGTTGTTTGCCAATATTTATTAGATTTTAAAATATATATAACCTTTGGTGTAGGAAAAACATCATTAGAAAACATCATTACAAATATAAAAGTATCAGATTGATACTTAAAATAGTGGAGGAAACTAGAAACAACATGAATGCACATCAATAGGAAAATGGCAAAATAAGTTACAGTGTATCCACATTATGGACTATGATACAGCTTTTAAAGAAAATGATGGAGAGCCAAGAGCCATACTTGTGCCCTTGAGGAATCTTTAATAGGCAATAATGAGTAGTGTATGTAGAGAAAAAAATGCATTGCCACTGAGCCCTTTCCCCTGCCCTTTTGTATTTTATTTAGAGACAGGATCTCACTGAGTTATATAGGCCCTCGATAAGTTGCTGAGGCTGACTTTGAACTTGTGATCCTCCTGCCTTAGCCATCCAAGCCACTGGGATTACAGGTGGCACCAAAGGAGAACTTCTTTAATTTTATTTATAGACTTCAGCACCATACACCAGACGTGTGTGTATGTGTATTATACATACACATGACAATATCAGATTCAATAGCATATAAATGTCATAAGAGCAGAGACTTTATTTTATTCACTGCTGTATCCCCAAGGTCTCATATATAACAGGTGTTCAAAAACTATGCTGACCAAATGAGTACATGTCATTTTTGTAAAATAATGATCAAAAAACACTCTTCAAGTTATTGCATACATAAGTAGAGTACATTTCATTTTGTGTAAAATCAAAATCACACATGTATAAATATATATGTATGTACAAAGAAATGTGTGCATTATATATATATATGCATGTGTATGTGTACACATGTGTGTACATACATATTACCTATGAAATGTGTGTATGAGAACACATACACCAATATATCTATATATTTATATTTGTACACACATACAAAAACATTAATAGTAAGCAGAAAAATTACATCTATAGATTTGTAGAATGCTCCATAATATATTAAGGATGTAAGAAAAGAGGCTCTGAAGCCAAATTGGCTTGTTTTAATTCACAGTTCTCTTACTAGGTATGTCACTAGCAAGTTACTTAACCCTTTTGTGCCTCAGTTTTCTCATCTGAAATAATGTATACCTCACTGGCTTGCTGTAAGGATGAAACATGTTACAATAGTGCTTAGAACAAAGTTAGGTGATGTTTAAATTTTAACTATTATTCTAAGTATTGAAAGAATTGAAAAATAATGTGAATGATATTACTGGATGCTTTAAGATAGGTATTCTCAACTTTACAATACTGACATTTATTCTTTGCAGTGGTGGGGACCAAATTTACTTAGCATAAGCTTAGTAAGAACTCTAACTCCCTCCAGACCAGTACTGATATATTGGCCCAGAAAACTCTATTGTGAGCACAGTCCTTTGAATTGTAGGATGTTTAGTAGCATCCCTGGCCTCTGTCCATTAGATATCAGTAGCACCACAGCCCCAGTTGTGACAACCAAAAATGTCTCCATTGTCAAATGTCCCCCAGAAGGAGAAATCATCCTTAGTTGAGAATCACTGATTGAGGGGCTTGGAAATGGACGAGGGACATAGGAGGTATATTTAGTTTTTAAATATACACTCTCTCAACAGGTATACTATAAAAGTATGGACTACCTTTGTAATTATAAAAACATCTAATAAATTTTTGTAAATGACACTATTAAGGATAACCACAAAAATTAGAAAACTATAATCAATGATTTCTAAACCAGTAGAAAGTAAGGGAATATAGAAAATTTAAATAAGAAAAAAGAAGATGGGAAAGACAGAAGGAATTATAAGAATAAGCAGAAAACACAAGATGGAAGAAATATTTTCAAATGCATCAGTGATCACAATAAATAAAATGTATTTAACTCACCTATAAAAGAGATACTATCAAACTGGATTAAAAAAACAAACTCCAGCTATATGCTGCTTACAAGATACACCCTAAAATAAAACAACACAGAAAAGTTGAATATAAAAGAATGAAAAACGACATAATAGTTAAATGTTCACTAAAATAAAACTAATAAAAATATATTATTATAAGTAAAAATAGAATTTAAGGCAAAATTCATCAAAAAAATACAATGAAGAAATTCCATACACCTGATAAACACAACTCAGGAAACCATTAAAATTACAAGAAGAATCTCCATGGTTGAAGATTTCATTAACACACTTGTCTAAGAAACTGACAGATCAAGTAGACATAAAATTAACACACTTGTGCACACACAAACAAAGAGAATACAAATGTTATAGCAAACAGAGAAAAACGTAAATAACTGTTGCATTTGGGTAAAGGATATGAAAAATTCTTTGTACTATTCTTGTAACTTTTCTGTGTTTGAAATTGTATACAAATAAAGATATAAAAAAAAAATACACCCAAACAACTACGCTGAACATAAATAAGCTGACCATTTCATTTGAGAACTTGGGAAAAGAATGTCAGACAAAAATCTAAACACAGTAAAGACAAGGAAATAATGTCTGAGCAGAAATTAGTAGAATACTAGACAAAGAAATAATATAGGTGAATAAAACCAAAACATGGTTCTTTGAAAAGATGAAAAAAAAAAACCAACAAAAACAAAACAAAACAAAAAAAACCCTAGCAAGATTATTTAAGGGAGAAATAAATAAAAGTACAAATGAAAAATATTAATGAAATGGAATATGGAATAACAAAAGACACAATTGAGATTTGGCTTCATAAGAGAATAACTTGAACACTTTTGTAACAATAAACTAGAAAATCTACAGCTAATAAGAATTCTCTAGAAAAATACTGCTTACCAAAACTTACTTCAGAAGAACTGGATTCACCAAATAAGCCAAGAATTATCTAATGAAGTAGAACAGTATTTAAAATTCTCCTCTTAAAAAATATTAGACTGGATGAGGAGGGAAGGATAGAAGTTCATTGGATTAGACAAAGGGGAATGAAGAGAAGGGAAGGGGTATGGAAATAGAAAAGACAGTAGAAGAAATCAGATATAACTTTCCTATGTTCATATATGAATACATGACAAGTGTTAATTCCACATCATGTACAACCACAAGAATGGGATCCTAATTAGAATAAATTACACTCCATGTATGTATAATATGTCAAAACACATTTTACTGTCATATATATCTAAAAAGAACAAATAAAAAGATACTGGAAAAAAATATTAGATTTAAAGGTTATAAAAACTGAATGTTATAATCACTATATTCTCTACAACTATCTCAAAGTGTAGAAGAGGGAAAGCTGCTCAACTAATTTTATGAATATACTTTTATTACTAATGTTATTAAGAATATATTAGCAAATCAATGTACCAATGCATTTTAAAATAATCATCTACTAGAGTCAAGTGGTTTATCCTGGAATATATGGCTGGTTTAAAAATGAAAAAGATCAATTACTATAATTTTTTATTGTAGTAAGGAGAAAAAAAGATGATCATCTTATAAGATACAATAAAAAAAACTTAACAGTAAATTTTAATACCCATTTATGATATGAATTCCTAGCAAACTAGCAAGAGAAACAAATACTGTTAGGTTGATAAAGGCTATAGAAAATATAATATTTGATGAAACTTTAGAAGTATTTGCATTAAAGTTAGATGAATGACAAATGCCTGCTACCATCCATACTATCAACATTTTTGTGGAGCTCTCAGCATAAGGACAAATAATAATAACAAAAAGAAGGAGTTACAGGAAAGAAAATTTGGGGAAAAACATCCCACAGAAACTGATATTTGAAGAAGATATGACTGCACAGAAGACATTTCAAAAAATCTACAAAGTATAGGAACCATTCAGAATTTATTTGCTGCATACAAGGCCAACATATAATAAATAACCTGCAAAGACAGAAAAATGTGACTTTAAAAAAGGTATTTGTGATGACAACCAAAATGATAAAGAATGTAAGCATAAACCTAAGAAAAGATAAAAAATAAGGTAAGTATTACAGAATGTTGTTTACACATATAAAGAACACCTGAGGGTTGGGGGATATAGCTCAGGTGTTAAAGAGTGCTTGACTCGAATGCACAAGGCCCTGGGTTCAATCCACAGCACCACACACACACATACACACACACACACAAAAAGCAGCATAATTTCTATGAAGATTGAAGTTTCAGGGGCTAGGGATACAGCTCAGTTGATAGAATGCTTGCCTTGCATACACAAGGCCTTGGGTTCAATCCTCAGCACTACCAAAAAAAAATGCAATTTTGCAGAACAGGACAAAGTAATTCTGAAAGAATAATGGCCAGGAATGGATACAATTGCAAGTGCTTTTGGAAGGAGACAAATCAGTACAATCACAGACAATAGGAAATTGATAATGTCCAACTACCTATGGAAACTCTACCACACATACATAAGGGATAACAATTTATATAGCAAAAGACTGTATAACAATTATATAGCAAAAGACTGGAAAAGTCTGAATTTTATTAATAAAAGAATAGATAACTTGGAGTATATTCACATGATGGAATTAACATGCAGCTACCAGATGAACTAGAACTAATCTAAAAGTATTGGCATGGATAAGTTTTAAAAATATGATGCCAAAAGGTGGGGGAAAGTTGGAGGATTTATATGGTTCACTGTCATTTTTATAAGTGAAAAAACTCATAAAACACATATTATTGATGCATATCATATACCATGTAATATTAAAAATGATACATATCAGATGCAGGTTAATTGTTACTTCATGGGACGGAGGAATAAAAAGGAGACTTCAACTATATTTAGAACACCTTTGTTTCTCCAGATTTCTAAGACTAACCTGTGGCAATGACTTGTCCCCATCAGCATGCATCTTTAACTTCATCAATGCAACCTTTGCAGCTGTTTCACTATTTTTGGCACCTTTCCGTCGTTTACTTGCTGTCTCTCCTGTCTTGGAATCTAAGAAATAAATGTTAAGCATGTAAACACATAAGAACTTTTACATTACATTTCCAGAGTTTTATTTTAAGGCATTTATTCATTATGGCCCTAAAACATATACAAATTGCATACTATAGAGATTCAGGCACTATATATGACTAATGGAAAAGTATCACTGAGGTTGATCAACCAATCTCCACATCAAAAAATTTCACTGTTTCCAACTTAGCCTGTTTAATCTAAAGCAGTCACTAATGCTTCTACAAAAAAGTTCAGGATTTTATTATAGAAGATTTTAATACAGGTACTATCCTTAACACAAAATGAAAATTCTGCTGAACTAACATACTGGCAGAGATAACAAATCTAAGTCACAGATCTATTCTTTCTTGGTATCTTAGCAGCATTTATAACACAGCCAAACAGGCTTATTAGAGTTTGCTCTTAAGAGAAAGCAAACAACTATGTCAACCTCATGAATACCAACCAAATCTAGCCAGGATGGTTAACCAGCTGATCTGATGGGCAGCCCAGCAAGAAGACCATCTTGTGTGGTACTTTCAAATAGCTTCCAGATTTGGTCAGGTAGGCCTTGAAAGAAATAGTATTGCAAGAATGTCCTCAAAATACAAGTTATTACCATTGGAGCTGTTAATGATACATTCAATAAATGGTAAGCAGAAATAAGAGGCAGGAGCTCTGGAACTAACAGAGAATAAAGAAACAAAAAAATCAATAGTACAAGTTTTCTAGATACCTACCAATAATGTCTTTAACAAGTTTCTGAGTGTTAGCCATTCGGGGCTTTTGGATTTCCAGTTTTTCACACTCATGATCTGACTGATGGCGATGTCTATGAACAACAGAAGAGTTTCACTAGCACATGTATTTGTATACAACTTAAACAGATATACAAAGCTTGAATGGTCTAAGTAAATACCTCAGGCAAAAATTCTTCTCACAGTAAGGACATATAACTGCCACAAGCTCTTTTTCAACACAATTCTTGAATGAACATGGGTAAGATTTATGTTTATCAGTCTTCAGTCTCTCATTGATTATAGTTACCTGAAAATGTAAAAGGGGGAAATGGCATTATCCTCAACATTTAAAATATATATGCAAATCCATTTTAGAAGGCAGAATTCACATCATTTTGGTTTTAACTCATTATATCAACTTATATACTCTCACATAAAAATATAATGATTGTTTAAAAAATGATTACTGGGGTTGGGGATATAGCTCAGTTGGTAGAGTGCTTGCCTCACATGCACAAGGCCCTGGGTCCAATCCCCAGCACCATAAAAAAAAAAAAAAGGGAAATTATTACAGTGTTGAATTTTCTATTTTCATAATTTTCCTACTATGGTATATTTATCTTCGAATTTAAAATGACTGTTCAGTTATTCTTTGCAATTTTAATCTTCTATTTCAAAAAAGTCCCTCATACAAATGCCCCCATAATATGTTCAGGTGATCATCTTGTCAATCCTTAACTGGCAAGTCATAAATACTTTCTATACAAGTTTTGGGGAACTAAACAGTTAACTTAGGGAACAGACTACTTAAAAATCACCTATTTACCCATGAGACAAATGGCTAGACATAATTTTATAATCATATACTATTTTCTATGCTATATTTTAGATTGTCAAAAAATATTATATCAGGTGAAGACAAGATTTTGGTAAGAATTAAAAAAAGAAAATCCAGACAAGCCAGGCTGTTTGGCATTAAAGTAACCTAATTTATAGAGTTGAGTAAATTTAGGGAATTGTGTGAATACTATACAGCCTAAAGAAATTCTTTTACATTCATGTTGTACATTTTTGTTGCAATTTACTTCTTAAATATCCTTCCAAATTTGTTGCAGTAATCTAATGATAAAATTAATTTATTTCAATATTTATTTAATAAAATCCAATAATTTGAGTGAGACTCACAGAAATAAAATGATACCCTTTAAAAAAAAAGCATAGGACAGATTTGTGAGCTGCATTAGAAACATTAATAAATTTTACTATAAACTCTAAAGGAGTATTTCCTTCCAATTAATCCTACAGAAAACTGACATATTAGATAATTTTTATTTTCCTCATTATACAGATTACTTAAGCTTTAAAAACTCTGATTTTAAACTTTAAAGGTTCGGATTTTTGCAGGGATGGGCACTAAGGGATGGAATCCAGAGTCTCACACATGCTAGGCAAGTGCTCTACCACTGAGCTACAATCCCAAGTCCCTAAAAGTTCACATTTTGACTTAAGTTCATGTAATTTTATTTTTCTATAATTGAAAGAGCACATGAAAAAATCCTTGGAAACCTTGGAAATGTACTTGATAAATGGTGGGTAAGAATAAATGTTAACTGAAAAGTATTAAAGACAAATGTTGTTTTTCTAAATGGTGTGAATTCAGTCTAACTCCCCATCTTTCTTTGTCCATAGGAACGTGGAACAACTTATCTGACTGCAAAATTGAAGATTATACTAAACGTGGTAGTCCTAGCTTTCTCTTTTTCAAAATGGAATTCATCTGTTTCTAGTGAGGAAGCCTAATTTGGTCCAGTGCTGCTGTGAATGGTGAGCAAATCTACCTAATTCTAGATTTCCTTTGCAGACCCAAATGTCTCTATATTAAGCTTCTTCATTCAACTAAATAACAGGGTTTTTTCATTTGTATCTGCCAGCCCTTCCTTAGTCCATTAACTTGTTCAGAATTAAGGTAGGGATTCTGCTGGATAAAAAGTTTGTTCCTGGTGTATGAAAGCTGATAGAGCCCAAACAATTTACTACCAAAGGGTTCTACTACAAAATACCAGTGAAAATGAATAATGAAGGAAACAACGAACTGGAAAGACTATATACTGAGAATATTAATTTCAAGGTATATTTATAAATAGAAAACCTAATGTTGTAAGTGGACTACCTAAACAGAAATGTCAAGGAATAAAAGTCATATGAGGATAAAAATTTATAAATACCATGTAGAACAATTTTTCTTTAAATCAGAAAAAAATAAAAATAAAAATGAAGCAAAAGCTTCTTTACATATTCAGTTCAGTCTGCCAAACTTTAATCTGTAGGGTACTGACTGGCTTTAAATCTAATCAAATTCTGAATGAAAGTGGATGGTTACAAACATGTTTCATTAAATTGGAGAAAATTAACATACCTCAGGACAACCATGTGACTCTTTGCTTCTGTGTGCAAGGCTTAAATAATTTAAAAAAGTAGTGTTTAATTAAATGCAATCAAATAAAACACTTAAGATAACTACAGCAATGTGAGACATTTTAATGGTTTTAAATTAGTAAGGACCATCAATAGTGAAATGTAAAGGAGTACTGTCTTTTTTGGGGCAGCACTAGGGATTGAACCCAGTGGTACTCTACCACTAAGCTATATCCTCAGCTATTTATTTATTTATTCATTCATTCATTTCAAGACAGAGTCACACTAGATTGTCCAGGCTGGTTCCAAACTTGTAATCTTTCTGCCTCAGTCTCCCAAGTTGCTGGGATAAACAGGCATGTACTACCACATTTGGCTCTATTTCTGAATAATTTAAATATACATACAACTTTTATTTACCTATAATTCTTCTTGAATTATATTCTAAATATGCTTTCCCCCCCTGTGTTCTATTTCATAAATACAATACTTAAAATTTAAAAAAATTAATTGTAAAAAAAAATACATTTTCCAAAATTCTTGGTTAGTTTTTGGGTTTCACTATACATGTGATATGTTGAAATGACATGTAATGCCCATTTTAAAAAAATGATAGTTGAGTTCTTTTCCTCTTATTTTTTAAAATAAATAGTAATATAGCTGGGTGTAGTGGCACATGCCTGTAATCCCAGCAAGTCGGGAAACAGAGGATCATGAGTTCAGAGCCAACCTCAGCAACTTAGCAAGGCCCTGAGCAACTCAACAAGACCCTGTTTCTAAATAAAATATTAAAAGGGCTGGGGATGTGGCTCGTGGTTAAGCATCCCTGGGTTCAATCCCTGGCACTAAATAAATAAATAATAGTGATAACCATAACTGGATTGCTTTCCATATTCTTTGTATTTACGTATTATTTCCTCCTTGCAATTTAAAGATACAAATATATTATTTTATATAAAATTCACATATATAACCTCAATTCTGGAAGTTGACAGGTTAACCATACATAGGTGTAAGTAGTTAATAATTAGTCAGTCTTTCTCAAGTGATTAATATATTGAATATCAAGTATCAATGGTTAAAGAAACAATTATTTTAAATCGTTATATTTTTTAGAAATAAAGCATATTACAAATACAAAAATTACTCCCAAATCCTGCATAAGAACAACTTACCAAAATATTCCTGAACAACCATCACATACAAATGGAAGAAAATCTAAAATTGGGGGAAAATGTTGTAGGTTCTGATCAGTATCCAATTTTTATTTAGTTTTCTTACATAGCATCAAAGTATTCATTTTCTATAGAACATTTTTAAAATTATTAATATACTAGTGTTGCAAGTCACTACATAATCACTGCTAAACAGAGGTCATCACAATTTTAATAAATGAAAAAAAAAAGAATTAACAGAAGAATGAAATCTGTGGCATTTATCTTTTTTGTTTTGTTTCCAAGATTTACTAGATGCAGTTTTTGAGGATTGTATACTGCAAAAATTCCTCATTTGGAGTAAAATATCTGGACTTTAATTCTGATTCACTGTTTACTGATCTAGTAACATAAAGTAGAATAGCTTTGGAGACATATATGTATACACACATGATATAGTGTACATGTGCATGTCTCTATGTCTCTACATACACAAAAACAAAAGCTCTATTATTAGGTAAATATAAACAGGTAAATAGAATTTATATACAAAATATAAGTATATAATATTTGTATATGTACACATGTGTATGTGCATATGCGTACGCATCTACATCTGGATCTATGCTATATGCCACACTCACTCCACAAGGTAATTGTAAAAACCAAATGAGATAAGCGTGAAAGGTCAGAATAGTAATGCAGTAACTAAAATTAATAAGAGCAATATAATAATTAGCTTCCTTTGCCTATGCTCAACTCCAAAAAATATTGTAGTAACTGGGTGGAGATGCTCTCAGTGAGATTCCAGAAATTCAATAAATGTACTGATACTTTAAAATTAATTGCTGAATTGTTTCTTTGTTGGTGAAGAACAAGTACACCAGGACCAAATAACAAGAACTGAACTGAACTTTTGGAAAGTACATGAAAGTATCCATTCTCAAAAATGGCAACTAACAGTTAATTACTAGATTCAATGAATCACTTTCTAAATTTTTAATATTTTCTCATATTACATTATACAGCCAAGTGAAGCTGGATATATCCAAGCTCACTACTTTTAAAAAGTGAAAATCAGAAGGTACTACTGAGTCCTTCTTTAGAGAAAGCTACAAATGCCTTGAAAAGATCTTATTCTACAGGTATTTTCATTCCAAATGGAAAGAGGTTTTACTGCAACCAAAAGGGACCCTTGGATCATTATACTTTTGGAATAAAAGGGCCTGATAATTCTTCCCTCACCGGAAAATGGGCTTGATGAACTGTCACTATTGTTATTACAATATTCTAAGATTTGGTTTCAAACCAAGAAATTATGGATACATTTGTCAATAAGAGAAAGAAAGTACAGCACATAATATTCTACAAACTTTAGTTATGTTTTCAATATGAAAGATTGTACATATTTGTTATTTTGAGACTTTTTATAACAAAGTAAACATTAGATACACCAAAACCAATGCTTTCAGCTCCAAAACCAAAGCTTTGTTCAATGATAATCAGAATCAAAGAATGATCTAGCATAGAGAATATAATCAGCAGATGGAATAGTTTGAAGATAAGGAGCTCTTTTAAAACATGACAAAAGTCTTCTCCCACATGCTCATCTCGCCCAAGTCCTTCGTTTGACATGTAAGTAAACACAAAGGCTGGGAAAGTGGTTCGTATAGGTCGCAAGGGCCAAGGTCGGAGGGGAACTTGAGTGTTCCCACCTAAGCATCCTAGCTCCTGGCGCTAAGCAGAAAGGAGAGGGCGCTCCGCGAGCCAGCAGTGTACTCTCGGACTTCTTGGAGAAAACGCACTGGAAAATCATAGTGAACTCTGCATGGAGACCGCAAATTTCTTCCCAAGACACAGGAACAACAATTAGCACCAATACATCTCACTGCCCACTAAGCAGGAACGCACCCGCCCGCTCCTCAGCCAGCTCTGCGGCCTCCCCTCACCCGCCGCCACGCATCCGTGGCGCCAAAGCAGAGCCTGGATCTACCGCTGCCGGGGAATGGGGACTCCCGGGTCACCTCGCTGCCGGCAGTGCTCCACCTGACAATGCTGCCCGATGTCCAACTCCGCCATGTTTGCAGCGCCCACCAGGCGATAGGCGGAACTACAGCGGGGCAGGGCAATGTTTCGCTCGCGGCGCCTGCTGGGAGCGTGGAGCTCCCGGGGGCGGAGCCTGCAGGTGAGGGACGGGCGAACACCGGAAGCTGCCGGCATCCTGGCCATCTAGGCGTGCACCCAGGCGGCACCGAGTAAAGGGAGGAGCCTTCTGAGTTCTTGGAGCGGAAGTTCTCTTCGCCCGGTTCCTACCGAAAGCTCAGCCGCAGTTCTGGGATTTTGCAGGCGGTGGCGGTGTTTTGACGGTGCCACCACTAGGATCTGGGACACTCTCATAAGGAGAAAGTGGCTTGTAGAGGTCGCCACTTTTTTTTTTTTTTTAATTAATAAGACCCCAGGAACCAGCCCAGTTCCTGGGACAAAACATTTCAAGAATCAAGTGAAAGGGACACTGATTATGCAGCTCCTGACTTATCCTGTCACACTGTCTTGATATATGATTTGAAGTAAATGCCCCTGATAATGGAGTCACTAGGCCTTTTAAGAAGTAAAGGTTCTTTCTCTTGTCTTTTTTTTTTTTTTTAATTCAAATGGGAGATTTTTTTCCTGAGGTCTCCAGTGTGTTGGCTTCCTTGGTTTCTTCAGCACACATTCATTTAACATGACAACCCGAGAGTTAGGAGGATTCCATTGGGAAGTAAGGGAGTTGTGTGCCTGATGAGCCACCTCAAAGGCTTTACTAGGTGGGGTAAAAAGAATGCCATTCCACTAACATGACATCAGACACCACGCAGAGTGGAGTGACCATTATACTCCTGACAGGATCTGGAAAAGCATCCAGTGCTTGCTTGGGATCCTTCTGCTTTAGCCTCCGGAGTTGCTGGGATTACAGGTGTGCACCACTGAACCCCACTCAATTAGCTTTTTTTTTTTTTTTGCAGAGGCAAAATGGCTGCAGGGTTTATTTATACCAATAAGTTACATTAGGCCACTGGCATCATTAGTACATTATTATTCATTGTATCATTAGGCAGGTTACAGAGTTAGCAACATGATACAGCTTATTCCTCAGTTACATACTAAGTTGCAAAACACACTGTTAGGAGCTTTGTGTAGCTCTCAAGAAAGTCCATTGTTTAAAGTTACTGTTGTGTGGACAGTTTCAGGAGCACCAAGAACATGGTGAAACATTGTGGTTGTCTAACAAGAGAAAACCATTGAAAAAATTGATCAATTAGCTTTTTGCTTAAGAAATTCTTAGCCCGGCCCAGAGGCCCACGCCTGTAAACCCAGAGACACTGGAGGCTGAGGCAGGAGGATCCTGAGTTCAAAGCTAGCTGAGCTCAGCAAGGCTAAGGCGCTGAGTAACTCAGTGAGACCCTGTCTCTAAATAAAATACAAAATAGGGCTGGGGATGTAGATCAGTGGTTGAGTGACCCTGAATTAAATCCCTAGTACCAAACACAAATAAATAAAGAGAAAGAGAGAGAGAGAGAGAAATTCCTTGTTCTCCCTGACTGGAACAAACCTTGCTGTTATACAATTCATTTTGCATCTTTTTCAAAGCTGTTAGCTTCAAGAAGACAGAGATCATGTATTTTTTTTCTGTCCATCATATTGTAATTGCCCTGAGCCTGTCAGACATAAAATAAATATTTATTGAATGAATGAGTAAAAAAAAAACCTTAGATGTTTTATGGATGTTTTATGCACTGGTCAACTTTAGTTACTACATGTTTCCTATTCCAATCCCCAAATGCTTTACTCTATGTCTTTGTGCTATTCCCTTTGCTTTAAAGTGTCCTTTCGCTATCTTTACAAATCAAATTTCTGCCTATCCTTGAAAGTCACATTCAAATGTTATTATTTCAGGGCTTCCCTTCATTCCTCCCACTATCAAGGAGTCAATCTTTCTTCTAGACTCTATTGTGGTTTATCTGTACCTCTTTATTTAAACTTAGTTACTTCCGAATTTTTATAGTTATTTTTATGTACATCTTCTCCTTTACTAGGCCTTATGGTTATAGCCTGATGGTTCAATTGATGTTTTATTCCTTGCTGTAATTCTTTCAATCTACCACAATGTCATTAGACCACATAATAAATATTTTATATAAATCTATGAAATAATTAGCTGAAGTTTAGATTTTTTGATTCATACCTAATTAGGGTAGAGCCCTTTTCTCCAGATTTTAGAATGGAAAAATGATCACAATCTAAACACCTGAAACAGTAATATTGCTATATACTGGAGGAAATTTGAACACAAGAGAGACATACAAGAATCCTGAGAGCAGCATCAGCTTAATCTGAAAATAAAACAAATGCTTACCAATAGCAGAAACAATAACTTGCGGAATGGCTAAACAGTTTAATCCTTTACAACAGTGAAAATGAAGGAGATATAACTGTGTATGAGAATGTTGATAAAACTTAAAAATGAAGTATTCTGTGGTAAAATAAAACCCAAAGAACACATGTCATATCATTCCACTTACATAAAGTTCAAAGAGGCATCATTAAATTGTTTAAGGATTAGTACATAGAGGTGTGCCTATAAAGAAAATTGAGATAACAGTGCAGTGCATAAGAGTGAATACCTGTGGAGGTAAGGAAGGACTATGATCAGAAAGGCACATATGGGATGGTAGTGGGAAAAATGCCCTATTTTGAACCACATGTTGTGTTTGTATTGATGTTCTCTGTACATTTTTTTTGTTAATGTGTGTGTCTGTGAACTTCTCTGGCAATTTGTTGTTTTGCAATGAAAATGCTTCTTCAAAGTTAATATACTAGAGAATGGTAAATTAATTCTATTTAAAGGTTTGGCATATTTACACAAGTATGGGATTAGGTATGATCCCACTTAATGCTATAAACGATGTTAAAACTCATTCATAACAAATGTTTGGAGTATTGATGTTCAATTTATTTATTTAGGTACTGAGGGTTGAACCTAAGGGCACTTTACACTGGGCTGTGTCTCCAGCCCTTTTATATTCTTTATTCTGAGACAGGGACTCCCTAAGTTGACCAGGCTGGCTTTGAACTTACTATCCTTCTGCCTCAGCCTCCCAAGTAGCTGGGATTATAGACATGCATCACTGCACCTCATTCTACTTTATTTCTTAATTAGTTAAAATAAGAGTTCACTTTTGCTTGAATTTTCTGGCAATACCAAAAGGTGGAACTAAGAATAAACTTAGTACCTGAAATTATGATTGCTTAAAAACATTGAAAAGTGTCAAGTGTGAAAAGTACTTATCCTATTGTTAAACATTTGAAAAGAATGCAATAATGTTTTACTTTTTAAAATTCCATATTTACTTTTAAAATTCCACATTGCAGGCATGGTGGTGCACACTTGTGATCCTAGCGACTTGCAAGGCTTAATAAGGCAGGAGGATTGCAAGTTTGAGGCCAGTCTCACCAACTTAGACCCTGTCTCAAAAATGAAAAGGGCCAGGGGTGGCTTAGTGATGGTGGGCCAGTAATTAACACCTACACACAAACAATTAACAAATAATTAATATTATTTACTTATATTATCATATGCATGTTTAGAATCCCTCTTTATTCAGAATCTCTGCTCAATGTAATATTAATAAATATGAGTAAAAGAAAAAAATGTAAGTTGTTAATTGAAGTTATTATTTTTTTTGATACAGAGTTATATTATTTGTTATAAACCCGCAGGTGTGACAGTTTGAATTGTTATTCTGCAAATATTCACTGCCTTTCTCCCCAGTGGGGGCAGGTGTGCTTTATCAACTCATACATATTTGGTTTGGCCAGCCATATGACTTTCATTGCTTATGGAATGTTAGCAGACGTGGCGTAGGTAGAGTACTTAATTGGGTTTCTGTGGTTTATCTTACCTGTTGTGCTTTCATGCTACACAAGAAGAACATAAGCCACAGAGCTGCTGCCTTTCAGTCCTGGCCCCAGAATGAACACATGTGGAGCATGTCTGAAGCCAACCCACAACCTGGATTGGAGCTTCGGCAATTGACAGCCATGCCTTTTCCAGCCCAGATAAATCTTGATAGACCTGTAGGTCTGTAAGCATGAGTATGAAAGCTTATTGTTAAGGTCCTAGAATTTGAGGGTGTTTTGTTACACAGCATCATGGTGGAAATAGTTGAATAATATAGTTGATAAACAAAACAAATGAGAGTGAGATATTCCATAATTCACAGGAGATTATTTCCACTCAAGATCAATTTTGTTTTTTACTGTAGGAAATATCATTTAATCAAAGTTTCTGGGTTTTATTACCACTCACAGGAGAAACCAATCTGACAGAGAATGTATTAATGAGAATAGAAAAAAAAATGTAAAGCACTTTCAAAAAGCTCAAAATATTTTTTTAAAAATTTTACCTAAAATGGAGCAAGGGATATATTTTCAAAATTTATTTTCACTTTTTTGTCAATTAGTCAGTATTAAAATTTGTCTTGTAAGATATAACTAACTTAAATAACATTTTTATGATAACATTAGTTATTGATTTAAATAATTTTGTCTCTTCTTCTGCACTAGGAAAAGTACAGTTATTTTCTTGACTAATTATCTTCCATTCTCTAAAGATGTCACATTACCTTTTTTGTTTTCCCACTTTTTAATTTGTTCTTATTAGCTATACATGATGATAGAATGTATTTTAAAAAGTATTTTTAGTTGTAGATGGACATGATACCTTTATTTTGTTATGTGGTTCTGAGGATCAAACCCTGTGCCTCACATATGCGAGGCAAGTGTTCTACCCCAGCCCAGTAGAATGTATTTTGACATATTATACAAATAAGGAGCACAATTTCCCATTTTTCTGGTTGTATGTGATGTAGAATTACATTGGTAGTATATTTGTATGTGCACATAGAAATGTAATGCCTGATTCATTCTACTATCTTTGCTATTCTCATCTCCTCTCTCTTCCCTTCATTCCCCTTTGTGCAATCCAAATTCTAATTTTTCTACCCACCCCCACATTATGATTTAGCATCCATATATCAGAGAAAACATTCCGCCTTTGGTTCTTTGGGATTGGCTTATTTCACTGATAGTCTCCAGTTCCTTC